CAACAGAGTGAGACACTGTCTCTAAAAATACAATTTAGATTTAAAAAAGAAGAATAGGCCGGGCATGGTGGCTCATGCCTCTAATCCCAGCACTTTGGGAGGCTGAGGCAGGTGGATGGTCTGAGGTCAGGATTTCAAGACCAGCCTGGTCAACATGGTGAAACGCCATCTCTACTAAAAATACAAAAATTAGCTGGGCATGGTGGCAGGCACCTGTAATCTCAGCTACTCAGGAGGCTGAGGCATTAGAATCATAGCTTGAACCTGGGAGGCAGAGGTTGCAGTGAGCCGAGATTACACCATTGCACTCCAGCCTGGGCTACAAGAGCGAAACTTCATCTCGGCTCACTGCAACCTCTGAAAAAAGAATAAAATATAGGTAAGTATAATGAGGGATAAGATACTACGATTTCTGCAAAGCTAAGAAGACTAAAGCAACTTGGGGAGATATCAAGCTATAAGTAAATGCTTAGAAACACAGTGTGCTATACACGTAGTACTATACTACTTCAATCACTACCTTTGTTAAGGGCTACTTATATAAAGGCACAACACAGAAGTCAAAAAAAAAAAAAAAACCTGTCTTGCAAAGAACAGAAAACTGTCTTCTTTTTTTTTTTTTTTGAGACGGAGTTTCACTCATGTTACCCAGGCTGGAGTGCAATGGCGCGATCTCGGCTCACTGCAACCTCCGCCTCCTGGGTTCAGGCAATTCTCCTGCCTCAGCCTCCTGAGTAGCTGGGATTACAGGCACGCACCACCATGCTCAGCTAATTTTTTGTATTTTTTTAGTAGAGACGGGGTTTCACCATGTTGACCAGGATGGTCTCGATCTCTTGACCTCATGATCCACCCGCCTCGGCCTCCCAAAGTGCTGGGATTACAGGCTTGAGCCACCGCGCCCAGCCAGTCTTCTTAATTAGAAACATTTTTTCTGGCCGGGCACAGTGGCTCACACCTGTAATCCAAGCACTGTGGAGGCCAAGGCGGGCAGATCACCTGAGGTCAGGAGTTCAAGACCAGCCTGACCAACATGGTGAAAACCCTTCTTTAAAAAAAAAAAGAAACATTTTTCTTTAATTATAAACCTTTTTGAATCCTCAAAAAAAAATGTTCATAGATTTTGGTACTATTGAGAACCTGTCACAACCAAAGTTCAGCTCACTCTTTGGAGAACCCTCTTTATTCCTTATCTTCCTCTCTTTCTCAGTCATTTCCCACATTGCTTTCAAGCTGTATGTCTTGTCTTTTCTTGCTGAGTTCCCAAATCGTGATCATTGCTTAGTATCTGACTTGAGACTCTGTTAAGGATAGGGTCCTGCCTCCTGAAGCTCAGAGAATGGCAGGGTCAGGTTTTGGCGTGTGGTTCCCAGCAAGGGTGCTGAAGACAGGCAGCTCTTCCCTGGCGTTCTGCCCTAGCACAGAGTGCACCATAGGTCCTATGAATGGCTGTCCTGTGAACAACGAGAGGACAGAAGGGAACTGTGCAGGCTTCCCTCCAGCTGCAGACGCCAAAGCACACACAGGGCCTGCTGACTGCAGCTGAGGAGTCCTGAAATGGCCTTGCATTTATGTGAAGTGCTCATCCAAGCCATGATCCAGAACAGTGCCATTATAAGGACACCTGAGATTGTCTCATTAACTGCAGCGCAGCCTCTCATCAGTGTCTCTCATCCCACTCTGCTGAGCTCTGAGCAATATTTAAATGAATTGGAGGCAGGCCAGGAGTTATTTTCCCTTCCCCTTTTCTCTATTTTCTGACTTATTCTCCCAGGGCTGTCTGTTCTTATGACACAGTTTTCACAGCCAAAGGTCAGTATATTTCTTTTCAAAAGTCCTGTAGATCCTCCCACTCCTGGCATCCTTTCACCTTCTTGTGAATGATGAAAGTGAAATAGAAAAGGTGAACCTTTTGAGAAGGAGGAAACACAATTTCTCTTCTTCTCTGCCAGACACTTCTTTTCATTTCCTAGCAGATTTGCCCTTAAGTTACAATCAATGTTAAGCCAAAACAAAGCTATGGTAAAATGCTAATAGACCGTTGGGCTCTGGGACATTGTCAGAGGGAGGGAGGGTGGAAGTAGACTCAAGAAAAAAAAAATCAGGGGCTGGGCATGGTGGCTCATGTCTTGTAATCCTAGGACTTTGGGAGGCCAAGGTGGGCAGATCACCTGAGGTCAAGTGTTCGAGATCAGCCTAGCCAACATGGCAAAACCCCGCCTCCACTAAAAAAATACAAACATTATCTGGGCGCGGTGGCACATGCCTGTAATCTCAGCTGCTTGGGAGGCTGAGGCAGAAGAATGGCTTGAACCCAGGAGTCGGAGGTTGCAGTGAGCTGAGATCACACCACTGCACTCCATTGTAGGTGACAAAGTGAGACTATGTCTCAAAAAAAAAAAAAGAAATCAGGGAATAATAAAAGCTGTCACTTGTAAAAATACATATTGTGTGCCAGGCATTGTGCTAGATACTAGAGATTCATCGATAAGTTAGGTAAAGGTGATATTCATCTGAGAACTCCATTTTTCAGTTAATAGATGCCCTGTTCACAGTAGGGACTCAACATCATTGGATTAAAAGGTTTACTAATAGGTTGAATGTCAGCAATGTTTGCTCTAGATTCTCTTGCTTGTGTGTGCAATAGTTGAAGAAATAAGAAATTCCTTTGGACAGTAATACCATGGATCTAGCCTTTTAATGAAGAATATCCAAAGTACTCCTGGCAGAGAAACTGGCAATCAGTTTGGGTGGTGGAGCATAACTATCCTACCTCTAGATGCAGTGGTCTGCAAATTCAAAGAGGAAAGTGTTTAAGTGTGGTTCAGAAACCATGAGCAAATATTAAATGTCGTTACACTTAGCACTACCTCAGCTAAGCCCTCTAACTGTTCAAAGATGGCATCCACTTCAGGAAGAAGTTATGAGGCCTATTTGATGGAGAGTAAATATTTTACACATCCAGATTTGTTCAGTTGGTGCCTCCATTTTTCAGTTAACACAGAGGCTGACTTGCACATGATAGCACTCAGACAGCTGTTAAGTTGAAATGTTAGCTAAGCCTGCCTGATAAATTGTTTTGGTTTTGGTATTTCATGATAAATATGCCCATAGTTTAAGAAATCCCCATTAACATTAATGCCGTGGATCCAGACTAGTAAGGATAAACAAATTTTCTTTCTTAAACTCAATTTCTTTTCTTTTTTTTCCTGAGACAGAGTTTTGCTCTTGTTGCCCAGGCTGGAGTGCAATGGCGCAATCTCAACTCACTGCAACTTCCGCCTCCCAGGTTCAAGCGATTCTCCTGTCTCAGCCTCCCAAGTAGCTGAGATTACAGGCATCCACGCCCGGCCAATTTTGCATTTTTAGTAAAGACGGGGTTTTTCCCTGTTGGTCAACCTGGTCTCGAACTCCTGACCTAACGTGATCTGCCCGCCTTGGCCTCCCAGAGTGCTGGGATTACAGACATGAGTCACCGTGCCCGGCCTTACATTCAATTTCTTTAAAACATTGCTCAAAATCAAGTTTTATGGCAAATTTCATCACTTAGTCTGAAACTTAACTCTTATTTTTGTCAGGTTATATGTTACCTGATCAGATGATAATGGCCCCAAACAAAGCCATAACATCAGCATGGCCAGATATTTTTCTTACTCACTCTTATAGTGCTTTAAGACCACAACATCGTATAGTGGAGAAAGTTGCCATGTTTTTCTGCCTCTTTATGACCCTGACTCAATCAGTGAGGAGGTAGCCAATCTTTTCACGTATTTGAATGTTCTGGGGCCTCAAGGAATCCATTTACTAAACTATAAGCCCCCCAACTCAAAGTGCCTGAAAAGGCAGGAGGGTGGGGTGGGAAAAGCAAGCTCCTCACTGCAGAGCAGCTTGAGGCAGCACTGTGGCTGACAGCACATGTCTGGAGTCAGACCCATCTATATCCCGGGACCACTACCTACTTGAGCGAACCACGCATGATTTCTGTCCTCTCTTTCCTCACCTGTAAAATGCAGATTGTCAGGCTGATGATATGATAAAAAGTAGTGCCAGATTCAGTGGCTCACATCTATAATCCCAGCACTTGGGAGGTCAAGGTGGGAGGACCACTTGAGGCCAGGAGTTCAAGACCAGCCTGGGCAACATAGCAAGACCTTGTCTCTAAAAAAAATGACAGGGTCATGCCTGGATGATGGGGGTCACGCCTGGGTCATAATAGGGTGTGGTTGTGCATACCTGTAGTCCCAGCTACTTAGGAGGCTGAGGCAGATGATTACTTGAACCCAGGAGCTCAAGGCTGCAGTCAGCTGTGATCACACCACTGCACTCCAGCCTGAGTGAAAGAGCGAGACCCTCCACCATGGTTGACAGAGCGAGATCCTGTCTCATAAAAGAATAAATAAATAAATATTAGATATTTGATGGGTTAGCTTATGAAAAGCATTCAATAAATTACCATTAATAGCATCACTCCAGGAAAAGTCACTTCTCCGGGCTTCCATTTTCACATGTGAATTGGAAAGTTTAGGCAGTCATGTCTAAAGCCTACTTCAGCTACAATCAAAGTCTCTAGTTATAAACACAACTACAAGCAAAGAGCTGATAGACGTAGTTTTTTCTCTATTCCAAAACACAGTATCAGAGCCTAGACAAAAAAGGGGGACTTCATCTCTACAAAAAGTTTTTTTAAAAATTAGCCAGGCATGGTGGCAAGCACCTATAGGCAGGCGGATCACTTGAACCCAGGAGGTCAAGGCTGCAGTGAGCTATGGTAGCACCACTGCACTACAGCCTGGGGGAAACAGCGAGACCCTATCTCAAAATGCGAACAAAAAATATATAAAGAGCAATGCATAGTATCAATACTTTCTTAACTTCGTGATTTTAAATGCTCTCTCTTAAGTAATCCTCTGATAGAAGATGTTTTTTCTGCTCCTTGATGCTTGTAATCAATCAGTGCTGTATTAGTCTATGGCTGCCATAACAAAATACTACAGACTGGGTGACTTAATCAACAGAAATTTATTCTCTCAGAGTTCTACAGGCTGGAAGTCCGAGATCCAGGTGTCAGCAGGAGTGGTTTCTCCTGAGGCCTCTCTCCTGGGCTTGCAGATGACCATCTTCTCCCTGTGTCTTCACATGGGCTTCCTACTATGTGCATCTGTGTCCTAATTTCTTTTCATAAGAACACCAGTTACATTAGATTAGGGCCCACCCTATGGCCTCATTTAACATTACTTGCCTCATTAAAGGCCCTTTACAAATACAGTCACATTCTAAAGTACTAGGAAGTATGACTTTGACATATGAGCTTCTGCAGGGGACATAATTCATCCTCTAATAAGTGCTCTCCAATAGCAGTGTCTACACTTAGATTGTAGCCAGGCTTGGTGGCTCACGCTTATAATCCCAGCACTTTGGGAGACCGAGGCAGGTCAGGAGATTGAGACCATCCTGGCTAACATGGTGAAACCCCATCTCTACTAAAAATACAAAAAAATTAGCTGGGCATGGTGGCATGTGCCTGTAGTCCCAGCTACTTGGGAGACTGAGGTAGGAGAATCGTTTGAACCCAAAAGGTGGAAGTTGCAGTGAGCTGAGATTGCACCACTGCACTCCAGCCTAGGCCACAGAGCAAGACTCCATCTCCGAAAAAAAAAAAAAAAAAAACCGATTGCAGCAGAGTTTTTTACATCCCTCAAAACATTGGTATATTAGGCCGGGCGCGGTGGCTCAAGCCTGTAATCCCAGCACTTTGGGAGGCCGAGGCGGGTGGATCACAAGGTCAAGAGATCGAGACCATCCTGGTCAACATGGTGAAACCCCGTCTCTACTAAAAATACAAAACATTAGCTGGGCATGGTGGCGCGTGCCTGTAATCCCAGCTACTCAGGAAGCTGAGGCAGGAGAATTGCCTGCACCCAGGAGGCGGAGGTTGCGGTGAGCCGAGATCGCGCCATTGCACTCCAGCCTGGGTAACGAGAGCGAAACTCCGTCCCCCAAAAAAAAAAAAAAAAA